GGCTCGGCTTTCCCCAATCCCCACTTCCTCTCCAGACAGCACGCGCGAGCTCCTGGGGCCTGAACATCTGGGAAATTTAATTTTACAATTCCGGCTGTGCAGTGTGCTCTCCTCCCCACCGCACGGGGAAGCGGGGCGAGCGCGGAAGGGGCTTCCCTGGCCCGCCACCCCGTGGGCGCAGGGTCCCAGAGGCGCCCAGGCCCTGACACTGCCCTCCCTCTGCAGAGCAAGGACCGTGACAGAAAGACGGCGATTCGGAGCTAGAGGCTGATGCCACTGGGCGACCCCCGGAGAGCCCCATGGACCTGACTCGGGCACAGGCCTCCCGTGCGGGCACTCACAGGCCTGCTCTGCCTCCGGCTGCGAGTGGGGCTGATGGACAGGCAGGTGGCGACGGGACTCTGAACTGGCCACAGCACTGCCCAGGCCACTGGAACTGTCCACGCTGGCTTCCTACCTGGGTTTTCTTTTGGTCACTACATGTTGGCATCTTGTGTCTTTGATATGATAATATAAAGTCTGGAAATTTTGTATAATTAAAAACAAAACAGTCTCTTCCAAAAGTGGGAGCCCACTTCCTCTCAAAGGGTCCAGAATGCTTCCTGGGCCCATCTGCCCCCAGGGCTGTCTCTCTCCGCGCCCTGTCCGCACTGGGCTGGAGGCACCCAGCTCTCAGGGCAGGTCCCACCTGCCAGGCCTCAGGGCTGTCCTTCCCAGGCCCAAGGCACAGTGCGGCGCCTCCTGCCAGGGCAGTGGGCCTGGGGGACAAAGGAGAAGGGGGATGGGGGAGGACAGGGTTGGTGGGGCGCAGCCCGCCCTGAGGCCCCACTCTCGGGACCTGTATGGCGCCCAGGGCTTCGTGTGGATCTCAGGGCCTTGGCACTTCAGCCTGTGACCATGGAGCCCCAAGAAATGGACGTGTGGGGAAGCTGAGTGAGGGGCATTGCCTGGCAGAAGTGGGCCTGGGCCAGGAGGCAGCCCCACATGCACCCCGGGGTACACGCCCCCCTGCCCAGCCCTGCACTCGGCCCACACGGGAAAGACCCCTAGCCACTCACCACCGAGTCTACCCCACAGCCCCATCTGCCAGTGAGGAGGGCGACGGGCCCCTCCCCGGCTGTGCACAGCTGGCTCGCCATTAAAAGCCTGCAGGTGACAATTATAGCTCAGCGGCTGTGAGCGCCAAGGGCACAGGGGAGGAGAAAGGCGGGGTGGCCCTAGGTGGGCCTCCTCCCCCGACCCCACAGGCCAGCAGCCTGCCTTCTGGCGAGTGTGAGGACGGCCGAAGGGCAGGTACCAGCCCTCGGCCTCAGCTGCCGGCGCCAGGCCTCTCGGATATGCCCTCTGGGTCCCGGGGAGCGGCCAGGTGCTGAGGCTCACGTGGGCAACCCAGCAGGGCAGGGCCAGAGCTGCCCCCTCCTCTGCATGGACAGGCTCCAGGGAACTGCGGAACAGGAAGTGGTGGTGTAATTTTGGAGGAAGTTCTCAAAGCCAGAGCCATTCAGGGCTAGAGGGGGGCTGTGTCCAATCTGATAGAAATTTAACAGGACAAAAAGTCACAGCAGCAGGTCCCACTCAGAGAAACCCAACCCCAAATTTCCTCTCCTTAATCCTGAAGGGGCCCACAGCTGGCCCAGGGAGGGCGGAGGGCGCGCTCGGTCACTGCACCAGTCCCCCCACCGGCCTGCTGGGGAGCAGGACCGAGCAGGGGACTCCGGGGCCCACCTGGGGGCTGAGAAAGGCCCCCCTTCCCCTCCTGGGACCCCAGGACACCAAGAACGTGTCCTGGGGGGAGGCTGGGCAGGCAGTGCCCTGGGGTGTCGGAGGCACCCCCTGCTGCACTGAGCACCGTGCAGGTGTGGGAGGCTCCATGGCACACTGGCCTCACATCTCCACACCTGGGCCCAGGCTGCAGGGGACAAACCTCCTTCATGAACCCGGCACGATGACGGGTAGCCATTGTGCGCCTCCCTCACCGCCACAAAGTGCCCACGGGGAAGGGGAGGCATACAGTGAGGCCGAGAGGATGTCCTGG